TATTATTTATATCACCATTATATTTACATTCTCTACTTTCTGTTTTGCCTTCTGTTTTTTAGCCACTTTAAATTCTATTCCATATTTTATAAAAATCCAATTCTTCTCTTTCTTTTAGTTCTATTGTCATTTTGTCCATCTCTGCACATTCGAGTACTTTTCTAATTATTGCTTCATCTGCGGGTGTATTGATTTCCCCCCCCCCCAGTTTTGTGCGAAAGCAATCCTAGCTGCAGTGAGTATGTGTTGCAATACACAATTCACTTCACTTTACTCTCCAACTTCTCTCCAGCTTGTCCGTTCACTCCAGCCACAAAAATTTACTCTACACTCCTTCTCCTGCTCCTTCTTGCTCTCTCTCTCTCCAATTTTTGAAGCACATCCCAGTGAGAAGAGTGTGTCTCCCCTGGCTCAGGTCCCTGATACTTAGGTATCTCACTGCACCAATGGGACTACTGACTTCAAATCTCCCCACACCAGCTCTGGAGAGCAGCCAAGTCAGCTCATCAGACCTCATGATACAGCAGCTGCTCTTCGACACCCAAACTAAGTTGTGTTTTTCCTTGGCTTTTTCTCACTCCATATGTTGGCTTGTCCAAGCAGAACAGTAGCCCTCCCAGGCTGCAAAATCCATATGCTACACAGAGAGAAAGATTATAGCGGATGGCTGGAGTTGCAAATACTTTTGAGCTTTGCGTGCTAATTTCTTTCCTAGCATCTGTTCTGGTAAACGACACATGAAGCATGAGCCAGCAATGTGGGCAGCTGCCAACAGAGCCAAGGGCATTTTTGGATGGCACCAATGTTGTAATACTGAGATTACAGGAAGTAACAGCTCTGCTTTATGCTTTAGGCTGCATTGGTACATTTTTGTCCAGTTTTGGTCAAACACCGGAAAGATGCGGACGACCAGAAAGGAGAGCAGAGAAGAACAAATAATAGGGAGGATGGGTAAACTGTGTGAAGGATTGGGTCTGTTAAGCCCAGTACTTGCCAAATGTGGATAAATTACCCAAAATTAAGTAAAAGTGTTTAGAATAGAATTCTTTATTGGCTATGTGTGATTGGACACACAAGGAATTTGTCTTTGGTGCATATGCTCTCAGTGTACATAAAAAACCAAGATACCTTCGTCAAGAATCATAATGATAGTCATAAGGTACAAATAAGCAATCAGGAAACAATCAATATCAATATAAATTGTAAGGATACAAGCAACAAAGTTACAGTCCTGCAATCATAAGTGGGAGGAGATGAGTTATAGGAACGATGAGAAGATTAACAGTAGTGCAGCCTTAGTGAATAATTTGACAGTGGTGGGGGAATTAGTTGTTTAGCAGAGTGATGGCGTTTGGGGAAAAACTGTCCTTGTGTCTAGTTGTTCTGCTGTGCAGTCCCCTATAGTGTCGTTTTGAGGGTAGAAGTTGAAACAATTTATGTCCAGGATGTGAAGGGCATTTTACGGCAGTAGAGTAGAAGCCATTTTAAGGCACAACAGGCTGTATCTTAACAGAGCACACACCCATCCCAGAGATCAAGTCATCTGTGTACCAGGTTTGGTTGAAATGTTTTATATATATAAATAAAGATTGTCTATAATAAGTGTTTCAAACCCTTTTGCCCTTTGGAGGTATTGCATTTATAAATGGGAAGAGAAAAATTCCACAGTCCTGAGGTCATAAAATAGAAACATGAATTTGCTGAGTGGTAGAGACAAAGAAGCAGCTTTTAAAAAATGTACATAAGCTTTCTCTGGAATTAGTTTCCTTTTTAGCTACTTATTGATGCAGCAAAGAGCATTTTTTCCGAGTCTGCTCAGTCTTCCCTGAAAGAAAACCCTGTGGGATTGGCTATTCTGGAAATCTCACGTAGGCAGGAATATGGAAATACCTCGCTTTTTGTGACTCATCCCCACTCATCGTTTCAGCACTCCACACTGTTCTTCCAAGCAAAGCACAGGAGTCTTAGAAAATCTCAGATGAAATTTTTCTCCCTCTAGCGAGATGAAACCACAAGTGTGAAGGGCGGGGAGCTGTGACCCTCAAAGGTTGGTAAACAATGACTCCCAAGATAGTTGTGGCAACTGAAGTCATGACTCAACAAGTGGAATGGTTAGCACCACTCTGCAGGCTTCCCTGCAGGCTTTCAAAAGAGACTGGACTGCCATGTGTTAGAAATGGTGTAGAGTCTCCTGCTTGGGCGGGGGGTTGGACTAGATGACCCATGATGTCCCTTGCAACTCTGTTAATTGGTGTTAAATTGTTAAACCTTTGGAGGACCCCAATTTTCTGTCCAGCGTTACTGGAAAGAATTTGACTGATTTTAGCGCACAGGTTTGATTAAGCCATCTGTGATATTTGGTTCCTTCTAGATTTATTTATTTATTTATACATTTATGTCACTTGATTCTCAATGACTCACAATAAGCAAAGGTGTTACAATAAAATGCAAAGGGGAAAAATGGAGAAGCGAAGGTTGGGTTCAGAGGAAGTGATTTGTTCAAAGACATCTAGCGACTTCTTTGAAGCGCTATGCCACAATACTGTGCAGCTTTTCACAACTCTATATTTTTGGGAGTTGGTTGATGGGTTGGTTGCAGTGGTGGGGTTCAATTTTTTTTACTCCCAGTTCTGTGTGAGTGGCTTGGTGGGTGTGGCGTGACATGGCATGATGTGGTGGGTGTGGCTTGGTGGCATGACAGGGGAAGGATACCGTAAAATCTCCATTCCCACCCCACTCCAGGGGAAGGATACTGCAAAATCTCCATTTCCACCCCACTCCAGGGGAAGGATACTGCAAAATCCCTATTTCCTCCCGATCAGCTGGGACTTGGGAAGCAGAGAATAGATGGGGGTGGGGCCAGCCAGAGGTGATATTTACTGGTTCTCCGAACTACTCAAAATTTCTGCTACCAGTTCTCCAGAACTGGTCAGAACCTGCTGAATACCACCTTTGGTTGGTTGGTTGGCTGGCTGGTTTAAATTAGGGGTGTCAAACTCGATTTCATTGAGGGCTGCATCAGGGTTGTGTTTGACCTTGATGGCCAGGGAGAGTGGTCAGGGGGAGTCACCAGCTTGATGTCACTCAGTCCGCCTGGGCTCTGTTTTGGCCGCCACAGCCTCCTGTAGCCCTCTGCCAGTGAAAACAGAGCTCAGGGAGGCCATGGACAACCCACCTGGGTTCCATTTTCAGCCTGCAAGGGCCTCCTGCAGCCCTCTGCCAGCAAAAAAGGAGCCCGTACATTCCCCCGAGCTCCGTTTTCACTGACAGAAGGCTGCAGAAGGCTATCATGGTCAAAAATGGAGCCTCTGAGGGCTGCAAGTGGCCTTCCCAAGTTTCCGTTTTCACTGGCAGGGGCACCGCGGGCCAGATCTAAGCACCCCATGGGCTGGTCCGGTCCCCCCGGGCCTTGAGTTTGATACCCCTGGTTTAAAGGATATTTGTCTCCCCTCTGGCATTTTCCACTGGCCTGTGCCTAAAAATGAAACTCTTTATCTTCCTTTCATTCCTTAGAACACAAACATCAAAGTAGAAGATGTCCGAATACGGGCCGTCTTTTCAGCCTCTCGCAAACGCATCCCTGTAACGGAGGGTTACGTGGAGATCAAAGAAGGGGGCACTTGGAAACAGATCTGCGACAAAAACTGGACCAACAAAAATTCCCGTGTTGTCTGCGGCATGTTTGGATTTCCATCGGAGAAGAAATACAATGTCAAAGCCTACAAGTAAGAGGCACTTTTCTAAGGGATAGTTACAGTCTTAAACTTCAAGAATACTGCATTTTTCGGAGTATAAGTACAAAAAATTATCTCTGCCTCCCAGCAATTTGCCTCCTTGCAGCAAACAGCAAACTACCCGTTTCAGTTTCAGCACAGCCTGATTAGCACAAGCAGCTGTTTGTCAGTTGGCTCAGCCTCCCGACGATCAGCTGTTTCAGGATACATGGATTGCCATAGCCTATTGCTGCCTCCACGCGCCTCATTTTCCACCTGTTTTGGGTGGCAGGGATCAGAATGGGTGGAAAACGGGGTGCACGGAGGCCGAAAATGGGCGTGCAGAGGCCAAAAATAGGATGCGGAGGCTGTGCTGAAGCTGAAACTGAAACAGGCTGTTTGCTGTTTGCTTCAAGGAGGCAATTTGATGGGAGGCAGATGCCAAAGGGTGGGAGCCGGCGGGTGGGTGGGGATAAATTCAGTGTATAAGATACACCCAAATTTTCACCCCCTTTTAGGGGGGAAGAGAATGTGTCTTATACTCTGAAAACTATGGTACATATGCAGATCTATTTGGAAGCAGCCCTTTCCAAATAGGAGTTGGAAAAATTCTGGTAGTTTCTGTGTGTTTTGTTGTCAACGTCTGAAGAGCTTCAACTCTTAATTTCCTTCATCGTTTTTGACAAAAAGAGGCCTTTGGACAGCTGTGAAGCATATTCTCTTGAGCAACATAATTTGAACCGTTTGTCCTGAGCAAAGATGGAATAAGGTCTGAAGGTAGCAAGTCTTCCACTTTCCATGCTTGCTCTTCAAGTTTCCATGAAGGATTCTTTTTTTTCTAGTGTCTCCTCTTTGCAGGATTTCACTGGCCAGCCAAGTTTCAAATACTTTGTTAGTGAAAAATGATGAAATTAAAATGAAGTTGTGGGGCGGGAGAAAGGAGGAGGTTTATGGAATGGAATTCTTAAAAACCGCATCAGAGTGGATTTCCTAAGACCATCCTGGGTTTTTATTGAATAATATATTGACAAACCATTGGTGTGGAAGTGATTCCAGATGGCCTGGTGTGTTTTGTTTTACACGTGGGGAGAGAAATGATCACATGTCTATACCAATGTTCTGGCTTTCTTGGGATCTCTGGTCTCCACCCTGCTTATACTTGTTTGAGCTGGTTGCTGATTTTGGTGGGGTAGAATGGCCTGCTCAACTGCTCACTCAGAATAAATCTGGTTATCTGCTCTGTGAGATGAGACTCAGCTGCCTGTCCTGAGGGAACGGGGCCTCAGGCTTGGTGACTAAGTCTTTCCTCTCTTCAGTGGGGTCATTTTGGTCAGTTGAAAGTAGGAAAATGGCTACATCCTGTCAGCGTGATTCATTCATCTCCTTTTCTTCAACTCAAACAAATTCCCAGAGAAGCTTACAAGGAAAAGCGATGGCTTAAATGGTCGTCACCAATAATACAGTTAGTCCTGCAGTAGGTTAATGCCCGGGGATGCAGTGGCTCAGCAGCTAAGATGCTGAGCTTGTCGATCAGAAAGGTCGGCAGTTCAGCAGTTCGAATCCCTAGTGCTGCGTAACGGAGTGAGCTCCCATTACGTGTCCCAGCTTCTGCCAACCTAGCCGTTAGAAAGCATGTTAAAAAATGCAAGTAGAAAAATAGGAACCACCTTTGGTGGGAAGGTAATAGCATTCCATGCGCCTTTGGTGTTTAGTCATGCTGGCCACATGACCATGGGGACGTCTTTGGACAGCGCTGGCTCTTCGGCTTTGAAACGGAGATGAGCACCGCCCCCTAGAGTCAGGAGCGCCTAGCACATATGTGCGAAGGGAAACTTTATCTTTTAGGTTAATGTCCACTCATTCTGCAACTGTTTGAAGTTATGATTGTGCTGCATGAGGAGGACTTATAACCCATCTCCAAGTTCCAACCATCCCAACATCACCACATTCACATGATTGCAATCCAGTATTTGCACTTATGATAGTTGCAGCGTCTTGTAGAGGCATGACCGCCGTTTGCAAACTTCGCTCTTGGCTTCATAAAAGTGAAGTCAATGGAGAAGCTGTCAGGAAAGGTTGAGCCTCACATAAGTAATCACTTAGACTTGTTCTTCAGAGGAGCCTGGCCACAGAGCAGAGGTGAAACGCTACCAGTTTGGACTGGTTCAGACTGCTACCGAACTGGTAGCAAAGATGCCAGCTGTTCACCCGAACCGGTAGTAAAATAAAAATGCTTCTGGTTCAGACAAACCAGTTTTTCTGATGATCAGCTATGCTGTGCGATTTATATTAGCAAGAAAGCAGGATTTCCTAAATTGAGTGGCACAGCGGATTCCCGCTCCTCCTTGCAAGTAGAAAAATGTGCAGAAGCTTTTTTTTTTACTACTGTGCTTGCGCATGAAGTGTGTCCTTGAGTGAACCAGCAGTAGCAGAAGCCAGAACCCACCCTTGATATGTAGCAAGTATGCACACCAGAGGTGGGATTCAGCAGGTTCTGACCAGTTCTGGAGAACCAGTAAATACCACCTCTGGCTGGCCCCGCCCCCATCTATTTTCTGTCCCCCAAGTCCCAGCTTATTGAGAGAAAATGGGGATTTTGCAGTATCCTTCCCCTGCCACGGCCACCAAGCCATGCCCACCAAGCCAAATCATGCCCACAAAGCCGGTAGTAAAAATTGTTGAACCCCACCACTGATGCACACATGCCTGCAGCACCAATCCCACCTGTAGGGGTCACCTCTGCACCCTTCTCCACCTGGTGGCATCCATCTCCAGCTCCTCTGGGTTTGTGTTTGTGTGTTGCTATGGCAGCACATCTCCTTCACCTAACCGCAGCCAGCCCCACCATACTCACACAGTGCCACAGTGGCCATCTGCACAGAGGATCATGTCAAGACAGCCCAATTTAGACAAATGAAATTTTCACCTGGCCAGCAGAAACAACATGAAATCTCTTAGATGTTTCCAAAACGGAGCATTGCGTCTCAGCAACTGTTGCTAAGGCCAGTACACAACATTATTTGTGGTGAGAGCCACACTTGGCCTTCCAGGAATGTTTCCAAAGAGATGGATGGGGGGCAGGATAATACTGAATTTGAAATAATTAAAATTTCATTCAACCCTTATTATGTTTAGGTTACATTTAGTCCCTTTCCCCCTTCTGTCATAGTTACAGTTCTGATCTAGTCCCAATAAGATCAAACACTTTTAAAGTATGCTTCATCCAAACTACCGTATTTTTCGGAGTATAAGACACACCTTTTTCCCTCAAAAAAGAGGCTGAAAATTTGGATGTGTTCTTATACACTGAATACAGCATTTTTGGCCTCCTGAAACCCCGCCCCCCCTTCACCAAAATGGCCGTGCATAGCTTTTAGGAAGGTTTCAGAATGCTCCTGGGGGCTGGGGAGGGCAGAAATGAGGAAATAAAGGGCCGTTTTTTGGTCAATATTGCCCCCCTAGTTCCTAGAAGCCTTCTATAAGCCTCCTAAAGGCTATCCATGCCCTTTTTTTGAAAAAAAGGGCCCGTTTTCATGAAAAACAGGCCATTTTGGGGAGGTTTGCAGAGTACAAAAACTTTTTTTTAATTTGCCTCTACAAAACCTTGGTGCGTCTTATACTCTGAAAAATACGGTAATACAAGTGTTGCAAACAGTTTGGTAAGAGAAAGATCTTCAGTAAAAGTTGAATTGCAGTTGTTAAGTTAGTAACACGGTTGTTAAGCGAATCTGGCTTCCCCGATGACTTTGCTTGTCAGAAGGTCACCAAAGGTGACCACAAGACCACGGGACACTGCAACCATCATAAATATAAGTCAGTTGCCAAGTGGCCAAATTTTGATCATGTAACCACAGGGATGCTACAAAGGTCAAAAGTATGAAAAATGCTTATATCACTTTTTTCAATGCTGTTGTAATTTTGAACAGTCACTAAATGAACTGTTGTAAGTCAAGGACTATCTGCATTGCATTGTTGTGGCACAGTGGTTAGAATACAGTATTGTAGGCTAATTCTGCTGACTGCCAGCCGCCAGCAGTTCGACAGTTCAATTCTCACTGGCTCAAGGTTGACTCAACCTTCTATTCTTCCAAGGTTGGTAAAATGAGGACCCAGATTGTTGGGGTCAATAGGCTGACTCTGTAAACTGCTTAGGGCTGTAATGCACTATGAAGCAGTATATAAATCTAAGTGCTATTGCTATTGTATAATCCCAGGAGTAAACAGACACATTGGCTCAGTGACTAAGATGCTGAGCTTGTCAATAAGAAAGGTCAGCAGTTCAAATCCTTAGTGCCGCATAACGGAGTGAGGTCCCATTGCTTGTCCCAACTTCTGCCAACCTAGCAGTTCGAAAGCACATAAAAATGCAAGTAGAAAAATAGGGACCACCTTTGGTGGGAAGGGAACAGCATTCCGTGCACCTTCAGCATTTAGTCCTGCTGGCCACATGACCACGGAGACTTCTTCGGACAGCCCTGGCTCATCGGCTATGAAACGGAGATGAGCACCGACCCCTAGAGTCAGGAACGACTAGCACATATGTGTGAGGGGAACCTTTACCTTTACCTAATCCCAGGAATATGCACCAAACTATTTATTGGCTCCCGGGAAAGTCAAAGCCTTAAATAAATTGACTTCTGGTGACTTCACAAACATGCTGTGAAGTTTTCTTCCCTGCTTGGTGATGTGGTTTGCCATTTCCATTTTGCAACCTATTTATATTTCCCAGGCTATGCTACAGCTGTCAGATTTCCAGACCTGCCAATGTTTAGACTTTTGAGATTATCCAAGCTGGCTTAGTTATTGTCAGCTCCTGTAAATATGCATGCTTTGTTTCTTCTACTTTATGTATTGTTTGCAGAGTAACGTCGACAAAATCTTCTGTAATTTTCCAGTTGCGTGCTGCAGAAGATAGAGAAAAAGCACTTGTTGAAAGCAAAAAAAGGACAATCAATATTTTCACCCTAACCCTCCTTAGCAGCTGTTCCAAAGCTACTCAGTTTCAAAACCCA